TTTCAAATGTATATCGTGATCATATCGCCCTGCTCCAGTTACACCTTTACAAACATTATCAGCACAAGAGCCGCTAGTACAGATATTTTGGGCTGACTTTGAGACGGTTGCGGTTGACTCAAGATATTTCCACATTTGTTTTCAGACAGTTTAACATTTGTTGGTTTTTGTTGTATTTAGAGAGCGAGCAGAGAAACTAGTGTGATAGTGAACTGCAGTAAAAACTGTCAATGAAGTGAAACAGGTGCACATAAATTAGATAATTAATATGAAATATATTTATTCGTTGATTTGTAGAAGGAGAGGGCCCAGTAACACCCTAGGGCAGTGGTTGGGGATGGGTTACAAGACAAGTCAATTAGTAAAGCTTTGATTCGGTCATATTTTTGTGGGTTAAATGAGGCAGTTGTCCCGCTAGCATTCTTGCCTGCCTTTACTGTCTGTGTCTAAAGCTCACAGATGGGGCCTGCAATTTTTAATGCTAGTCCAACCCATTTGTGTTCATATCAGAATAAACAGTTGTGATTGAAAAGGAGGTTTGTAGGTTAAAGATTAGTGAAAGCCAGCTGCTGTTCAACCTTGGCCCTGAGCATTTCGGCAGCCTGGTTAATAAAAGAGAATTTCCAGCTGTATACACTAGATTAGGATGGGTGTTTTTCTTCTTTCTCTCTTCTCCAAGCTGGCAGGAAACTGTAAAGTGGTTTATATTATCAGATTTCCTGGTAGGAGCAGGCAATATGCATGAAATTCCCAACAGGGTGTTTATAATTTTTAAAATCTGAATATAGACATATTGTGAAAAAAATATTGCTGAAAGTCTTCCTTTTTTTCTTTTTTTTTCTTCTTTTTTTAGAAAAAAATATTTAATTCATCAAATAACAGGAATGTCTGTTTTGGTTCTTTTATTGCTATGATGCAAAAATCATAATCCAATATTGCTGACATTGAGTACAAAGATCAGATGAGGACATTTAAAGCTTTTTCTCTTGAATTGAATCCCCAGTGGTTAATTAAGTCTGGGCACAATGAGGGAAAATATATTGCCATAATATATAGTGTTCTCATGTCAGTTGATATCAATATATATAACATAACCTGACATGAATCAAGTGACATGCCAGGATCAGTGATCAGTTTTGGCTTAAATATTTTTCTGGTAAATGTGAATGTAAGTTGAATTTGAGAAGTGTACTATAGATTTCTGTATAACATATAACACATATACTTAATGATGATTTGTTAACTGTAAAAACACGTTTTAGACCTTAAGTCTGGCTTTAAAAGTAGATATAAGTAATGAAACTATTCTGTGAAAGGGAACCAGTTTCTGGACTTAGCTGTAATTTGTTTGAATAAAAATGTCAGGTGCTGTGGTCAGTCTAGATGCCACCAGTGGGCAAAAATATCTTTAGAAATACAATCAGAAGAAGAGCTGACAATGTTTCAGATGACTGAAGCTATTTTATGCAGATATGAAAACAGCTGTGTCAAGAAACATATATTAGCAAATTGGTATTAGATGTCACTTCCAGCCTCTGTTATGTCAAATTGATTTATTAAAATTTCACTGATTTACACCCAACCTTTCACTTTTAATAATTATGCTTTGCAGTGGCAGAACAAGAGACAGGTGAGAAATCATTTGTTGGGTGTAATTTATGACCTTTGGAGCAGAGCTTAGTGTCATATTAACGACTCACGGTTGTCTGAAGCCTGTCATTGCTCAAATGGGAGTTTAAATGAAGTGTTATCTAACAAAGTCGGTGCGTGCAAGCTGACCTCTGAAACTCACTGCACATCTGTCATTGATTACAAGTCCAGATATTTTACATAACTGTCCTCTTTTTCACTCTTGATGTTGACTCACTGATGTTCGAGAAGCTAATTTTATTATTTATTTATGTATAAATGTGTTGTGAGGAAATCATTGAGAAAAAAACACATTAAAGAAAGAAAAAGCTGTCTTAAATTTCGACAGTCTCCATACAACAACACCACTTTAAGTGTCCCAGGTGGGGTTATGAAACAGGAGGTCTTTGTTTCAGTGGAAATGAAGAAAGACCCCGTTCTTCAGTCCCTCCCTGGTGTTTAATCAGGGCATTAGGTCAGCTCTAGCTAGATCCATCTTGGCTTATTGAGGTTTTTCCCAAAGCGCAGCTCTTTGTTACTCTTGAACACAGGTCAGTTTTATAAATTAATCATCATCAAGGTGCTTATTATAAACCACAATGTCAAAAATGTGTGATAAAACCAGCTCAGTAAAGTTTATAGTGCCGCAACATACAGTCTAAATGAATGTAGTTCCACCTGACATTGATCAGATCTGTAGCTGTAATAGCTTTGGTGACTTTGTGACCTGAGGCTTGATGCTGGATTCTTTCAACCTTAAACTCCTTTCTGTACATATCAGTCCATTTAAAGCAAGTGGGAAGTATTTGCTCATTATTTTTAATCAGTGGTCCAAAACATCTACTAAAGATGCTCTTTTTTAAAATCACAAAAATTGCACTTTTATCCCATTTAGAAATGCACAAACAAATGTGTTTGTGAGCACTGAAACATCTAAGTCAAGTTTTATCCTAAAGGGTATTTTTACAACTGCATCTATAACTATCACTGCTGTTCCGTCGATGGTTGCTCTAAATGTTCGTGTTCACCCTTTTCAGCAGAAACTAGAAAATCACTTATTGCACTTTGCTAGCTTATTGCTCTTTTGTTGCATAGTTGTAGGTCCACTGTACAATATCATTTTGGCATTGTCAGCAATGTGAGTTACCTAATTGTCCACTATTATTATGAATCTAGTATAATGAGTTAAAAGAGAACTGATTTGTACTGGCTTTTTTTCCCTCCTTTTTTCCATCCTTTAGTATGTCTTATTTTCCCTTTTACTCTCACTGATTTCTTGCTGTTTTCTTTGCTTTCTTTTATTTCTCTTTGGCTGCCACTCTAGCTGTCTCCACTGATTTATTTTGCACCTGATGTGCAGACTACCTGAATGATTTCCATTACTTCAATTTGTATGAATAATTTGAATAAAAATCTAAATCTTCTTGTCAGTTTTTCCCAAACACAGTAAATCTTCCTTTCGGATTTCATTACAAACTTCCCTTTTCAGAAATGCTCCACGAAACCAGACTCTCAAAGACTCATTTGATTTGT